AACTGCTTTTATAATTAATGTAATACATTGCCATTAGTTAATTATGAATTTAAGCCCTTCATCATTACTCATTTGCTATTATTAATTAAATGTGTAGTCTTCATGTGTAATGTGGAACCAATTAGTAGTCTTCATGTGTAATGTAGAACCTATCATTCATATTTTCAGTGAATGGATTTTATTCCAATATAGAACTTTTACCGACTGTACAATATTCCAATACATTACTTAATCAGTAAACTAATACACGTTAATATCCATAAATAAAATAAAATGTTTATTTCATGTGTTCAAAATACAATCATTACATATTGTCTTGTTTAAGAATTTCCCTGTGATACTCCAACAGATACTGCAATTTAGGTTTAGGAAGAAAAGTAACTACAATCTACCTTTGATTGTAAATATGCAAATGTGTTAGAAATACTATACAAATTACTATGAATATTTATATATATATATATATATATATTTTGTTTTGTTAAGAATGTTGAGCTAGAAATACAGCAAATCAGTACAAGTCAAAATACATTTCCAAACTGGAACCATTATGATATTCAAATTCTTGCAGAGTTGACTAAGGTTCTTGGAAATATAACTGATTTGGGAAATTTTAACACGACAACAGTAGGAACATTACGTTTAAGACACTTTAAGGCTGATTATCACTAAGTGAGATGGTTTGCTTTTGTAGATATTTTACATATTTTAACACTGTAAAGCTCCTACAGTATCAATAAAAATAATTTCTGTAATTAAAAAAAATAACTGTAAATAATAAAACTATACCAGAACTTGTGAAATGAGAATATTATAACAAAGTTACAAGTAACTTGTTACTTTTACAACAGATCTATTGAATTAATCTTCTATGTACCTATAAATATACAATAGAAACAGATTAATAACCTGGAAACATCACCACACACTACAAGGAATACTTGTCTTGTAAAACACTAAAGAAAGCTACTTTATTAATAAAATCTTACTATACATATAACACTACACAGATATCTTTCTGCAAAACTTCAGAAATCGTCCATTATGTACAACTAAACAAATCCAACTTGAAAAAAATCAAGTTTTGTCAGGTCAAGTAAAATATTCTGACATAAAACTAAACAAACGTTATTACATACACCAACTTAAGCTGTAGAACAACTTCCAACTGTCATGTGTCTTATGTCCAAGTCCTGCACTGTATTCAGTGGTGTGGGAACATTATTGATAAAGATTTTTTATATCAGTGTCAGATTGATGAGTCAAGCGACAACACACACACAGATATATATATATATACATATAGTACATTGACATTCACTAAGTTCTCTAATTTGTTGTCAGCTTCAATATTTTAAAGTGGTTGGTGGTGTTCAAACATAAAACAGACTTTGCATTTGGTCATTAAGTTAAAAAAATAAAAAGAAGAAAAAAACTGGTCAGAAAAACTAATTCATGATATAATGAATCTGCTACTAAGACAGTACTACAGAATAACAATATTAATATATTTGAAGCTCATTCTGAAATACAAGGATAACAAATGTACACACACCTGTAAATTTGGATATACAGCATGTTAGAAAACAGGGAGAAAAATATATATATATATATCTGGAAACCAGGAAATACAGCATGAGAGAAAAACAAGGACAACAAATACATACACCTGGAAATACAGTGTGAGAGAAAACAAGGACAACAAATAAACACATCCGGAAACCTGGAGATAAAGCATGTAAGAAAACAAAGACAATAAATACATATGTCTGGAAGACTCGAGATACAGCATGAGAGAAAACAAGGATAACACATACACATATCTGAAAACCTGGAGATACAGCGTGAGAGGAAACAAGGACAGCAAATAAACACATCCAGAAACCTGGAGATCTGGAAATTTGGGGATAAATAGCTTAGAATAAATACTCCCATTCAAATTTGTCGAAAACACCTAAACAGCAATCTGAATAAAAAAAATCCATTCAGCCAAAGGTTATTTTTATTTTCAGTTTAACAGTTTCTCAAACATATGAATAAAGAAAAACAAAACTGAAATTTATAAGGGACTTGTATAGTAGTGTTTTTTGTTATTATTTATAAGGATGTATACATTAATACAAAAAGTATGAAATGCATTCATTTTCCAAATGGTGTCAACAATAGTGTCAATGTTTCATATTACCAGTGCTACCTAATGGGCAGTCAACATCAAAAATATTTTTTAAAGGAAAAAAAAATTAAATTAAAACCTTTCTTTACTTGAGCTAGTTTTTCTGTTTTTTTGAGCAATGAAGCTCTATTACAATACAAACACCAAACCAATGCTTGCATACACTCTGTGTACATTGACTCTTAAGAGAAAACAAAAGGATTTATACAAGTAGTTTTGGTTTGAGTTTGTGCTTACTGAAAATGCCACCAGGGTCACTTTATTTGCAGACAACAAAATCTCTATTTTCATTCATCTGTTTGGTATGACTTTACTACACCTAAATACAGTCATGTGATACTCCTGATATGTGAAACACATGTCAATAACTATACTGTAAAACATAACTTCTCAGTTTTTAAGACATTGTCTTTCACTTGATATATTTTCAATATTTCTTAACCTATATACAATTGACATGAGAAATGTTAGAAAATATAACAGAGTAAGAAAAAACTTCTTTGTCCGATATAAAAAAAAAGCAAAGACCGAATACAATTTATACATTAATATTTCCATATATCCAAAGTACTCTTGCTGTAGTTTTTCACAAACACGACAAATGAAAGAACATTCACATATACTGTCAAGTTATAGCATCAAAATGATATTATATACATAGTCATATAAAGTTAAGTGTTTTACTGGCCATGTATGATGATAATTAATAAAAGATTTTGGGAAATTGAATATTTATTAAAATTCTAAATAGTCCTTTATTTCATGATAAAGATATTTTAAAGAAAAGGCTATTTCATATAATATTCAATCTTGCAATGATATCTCAAGTGTTTAAAATATGAAATACTGTTTATCTCACCTGTTCATTTCATTCTACTCTATCCTGTTTACTTATACAAAAAATCTCTTCTCAGCTTAGATAAAAAAGACAGATTTTTCCAGATGTTACTCACAATAGAAATAACTACAACAACTTTTTCCTACTTTTTAAACATACAAGTATCTGACATTAATGTCCCAAATCAGATTCTAACAGCCTCATTGGTGTACTGGTGCAGTTTTGGAAACCAAATGAAGTTTATCTACCACATGTGTACATTAAAGCTAAAAGATGAAACAGCTTTAATGATGTAGTTTTGGAAGCCAAGTGAAAGTTTATCCACCACAGGTGTACATTAAAACTATAAGGT